GTGAAGACCTTTCTCCAGATTCTAAAAGGATTTCCAGTTTATCAATCATCTCTTATGGTATTGTTTCTATGAAGAGAGATAAAAATGAGGAGAACAGTTAAGACCAGAAAGCTATGAATATTGTTCACATGAGTCAAGAAAGACTGCAGTTTTTATCAAATTCAGCTTTGACTCTCTTTGGAGGAGTCAAAATTTTCAAACTTTGATTGGTGGAAGGTACGGTAAATTAGGTGATAAGAAGAGAATCTCTTTTTCTGCAATGGTAGGTCAATAAAACAGTTGACTGGGTTCTCGGTAGAATTTTGTACAGCCATTGCTGTGCTGCTCTCACATGTAACACTTAAATACATGGTCAAAGGTCATGTATTCTGAGCCCATTGAGCGGCCATGTTTTAGCATGTTGGAAGATGACAGCTGTGAGAAGGCCTGGGCTAGAATTAAAAACTTCAATATGGCTGCTATATATCAACATTGTAGAGACACTGCAAGGCATTTTGATTATTCAGTCATTCTGTGGTCAGCTGACAGGCTATTCATTTCGAAAAACTAAAGGCGACTAACAGTCAATACTAAACTCATTTACCTCCTGAGTAAGTCGTTCTTTTATTTGCATTTAATTTGACAGCTGTAACACTTGCCACTGACACCCGTGACAAGTGTTATGTGTTATGAGTTCAATGAGAATCCTCATTGATTATGAGGGTGAGCCTCATACCTTTTCAGTATCAACAAGAAAAATATACAGTCAAAGACTGTTTGTGGCTACTGGTAAAGCACAGTTTTTTTAAACATTAAAAAGAACAAGAGATTGTATAATAATGGTAGGAGGTAGAGTTGCACAATATTTGACTCATGTGCAAAACAAAAAATCTTGCCACATCCCACATATATATGAGTACCCTGTTCCTCATGATTCGAGAAAAAAATGTCTAATTGACGTTTAACCAATGATTAAATGGTAACAAATAACTCAATCAATCACTCATCTTGACAACATATACATGCGGCTTCCCGTCCTGTGGGAGGCAGTAGCCAAAAAAAGCTAATAAAAAGCAAATTTTCTTCAATAAAGAAAAGATTTGATGCTTGCATTTCCTTTTTAAACAAGCATGAAGTCATGCGAGGAAAACTTGATGTCAAAAAATCAGATTGAACGATTGACAGGGTAGTTGTTTAGATAAGCAGTCCTGCATTTGTCGTTGTTTATGAGAGTCAAGTGAATCTTTATTTCAAACTGTGACTATTGATAACCATGGATCTCTGACGTGCTTACAGAGGGCAATGTGGAAACTGTGTTGCGGAGTTCATAATGTGAGCTGACCGCCATAAAGAGATTTTAAAGCTGACGTAACTAGCATTAAGTTAGCACTTCCTCAGAACGAATCGACAACACGCGCGTAATTAATTTCACTTCAGGAGGAGCATCATCAAAGAAAAAATTACCTGAAATTTTTGTCATTATGCCCAAAAATTCCTATCCACCGGCGGATTCAGCTGTCTGTTGGTTTCCAATCGCTCAGCATTGGGACTTCAGTTTGGAGCGCTTCGCCGTCGGCCATATAATTTGTTATTTCTATCTTCATTTCTTGCTGGGAAGTATTTTTTATCGCTGTGTTTTCATCGATTGCCTTCCCAGAACTATTTCTTTCTCTTAAAACAATTTTCAACTCAGACTCAAGGGGCTAAAAACTTGATTCTAAGAAGAATTCCCTACATTTTTGCATAGCTTGTGTCGATGCAACTTCGTCCGCCATTTTGTGTCAGTGCTTCCCAGTTTTCTCGCGGAGAAACTTTCAGTGGAGTGGACTCAAATATGAGGTGATTTTTCACTGACCCTACCCATGAGGTAGACTTATCTTGAAGTACGTTCTCTGGTGGGGAGATTTCTACTAATATCTGATTTCCTTTTCTCTTCAATTTGTTTCGTCATTTTCTGGGAAATTCCCGTCTGGCGTGACATAGCCAGTTGCTTCAGAAGGTATTTTCAGGGTGGAAGTTCACATATTTTAAGTAAGAGGCACAGATTTAGAGAAACTGTAGAAGTTTTGCGCAATACAACGAACTTCACTTGAGGTGAGATTATGAACTGTTAGAATGTATTATATATTTGTCGATA